TGCGGTGGGCTGCGGTGCCCGTTCTGATGGCTCCATCCCGGGCTCCCTAGTTCTCGAACACCTGAGCCTCCCCTGTTTGACCTCAGCGATTTGGGCGACCCCCCACAGGCGTGGCGGTCCCTCACCTCCCCAGGGCCGGCACGCGCCCGTCTCAGCTTGGAGAACGGAATGTGAAGCGACGTGCTGTTCAGCCGCAGCCGACCATCGGCGCTTCTGCATCTAGGTGAAAATCTTACTGTCTTTCTGAGGTAAACAGGACAGAAAAGGACAGCAAGATCTCAGCATTTTCAAACAGCACTGATTCTGCTTAATTTGTTTTTGAACCACAGGAAAATATCAGTGGACAGGGGCAGTAATGGCGCAGTGTCGAAGGCCTGGGGAGCTGATTTTTCGTGCCTGACCAACTTGGGAGTAAGAGTTATCCTTATGCTTGATTTATAAAAAATCTCAGAGAAAGGTGGTGCTTTTGTTCTTTGAAGCATAGCATCTTCTGTTCTTCCTAACAGAAACACTGAAATAGTTCATGCAGCAGGAAGCCCAGAGGCCGGTTTTTACAAAAGCACGCAGCAGCTTTCTGGTGTGCGTGCTCGTCCTGTAAGCCAAGTACTGTTTTCCACCTCTTGTGTGTTGAGCTGGATGTCATTGGTACATGCTGAATGACAGCATTTGAGTTCTGATTCTCCTCCATTAGCAGGATCGAACAATACACGCAGACCCCTCTGTGGCGACGTAAACGCACGAGGCATAGTGCTGCCCGCCTGGGGAGCAACTGAGAACTTGGCAGTTGGTATCAGGCTTTGACCTGCGGGTGCTGAAAGCACCAGTTGCACTGTCAGAAGGGCACCTTCTCTCCTCCGCCACCTCGGACACAGCGAGCTAATGCCGTCCTCTCCCAAGTGTGAGGACAGAGCTGGGCGTGGTGGTAACACGCCTATAATCCCAGCACTCGGAAGGCTGAGGCAGGAGGATCGTTGCAAGTTCAAGACCAGCCTGGGCTACAAAGTGAGCTCAAGGCCAGCCTGAACTGCATAGCGAGACCCCGTCTCAAAAAGACCAAAAAAAAAAAAAAAAAAAAGACAAAAACCAAGCATGAGGACAGCCTTGTGTGTGTGTGGTGTGCAGTGTACTATTTCCTTCCAACAATCCTCAATCTCTTGGAAGAAAGCTAAATCTCTTCCTCCTAACAATCCCGTGACTGCTTCCCTGTGAGTCTGCAGGCTGATTCCTGACGTGATCACCCGCTTGATTCCATTTCTGCCTTATCTGTATCTCTGGGTTGCCGGTCCTATTTGAGGGGTTTCTGAGAGTTAGGATACCAGCCTGGGTGCACTCTTCATGTTGCTATTGCAGACCAAGTATGCCCAGTCCTCATCCTTTTCCTTACATTCCGTCTATTCCTGAAGAGAACTGCTGTCATTAAAATCACGGGGTGGATATTCTCCCACTTCATATTGGCGGTATTGATTCGTCCTTGTAAATAGGCCTCGTTCACAGAGCTGTGTTACAGCGTAGGAAGACCTCACTGAGGGTTTTACACGAATTACTGAAAATGCCGATTCTGGGCCCCTTCCGACCTCCCAGCCGTTCTGCTCCGGGATTGCGTGGTCACAGGAGCTGTGGCTGTCTCTCTGCCTGGCTTCTACAGCCTCGGTCTCATGCAATCCTGCACAGGCCCCTTGACGTTAGCTACCTGTGCATCCTTTTGTCCGGCATGGCTTCCTGTGTGTGCCTCCAGGAGTGCGTTTCAATTCTTACAGTTCTTCCTGGTGTAAGACAAAAGTGGACCACGCCACCAGTCAGAGTTTCTAGATTTTTTTTCTTTAAAGTTAAAATGTTGGAAGTCCTGCACAGCGTTGTCCCTCTTGCCACTCACTGCCCGCACCTTCGGCAGTCGGCTGGGCTTCTGCCGGCACCTGCTGCACGGTGCGGGAGGGCACCGGCTGGCGCTGGCTCCATAATCCCCTCAACGTCGTTTAGTGACGAGAGCACCTCTGTCCACAAGGTCATCGAGCTCACGGCTTCAGGGGAAGGTGGGAAGGGCCCGAGAGGGTGCTGCGTGGGAGCTGAGCGGGGGCCTCCCTGGGCCTCCTCTTATGGACTGGGAGAAACAGTCCATACCTCGAAGCTGGGTTCTGAGTCGAGCAAATGCCCTACACTGCCCACCTCCTCCCAGTCACTGTTCTGCTGCTCTTCCTATTATTTATCTGTAAAGTTTCTGATTAATAAATACAGAACAATACATCAGTCACAACAGCAGCACGCTGAGTGTCTGTGACCCAGACACACCTGTGCATGTGCCTGTCCCCGAAGCCGCCCATCCTGCTCGTCCCTGAGACGGAATGGCGTCCGCGTGTGTAGACAGGTTCCTCTGATTTCACTGCTGAGCAGTGTCCTGTTGATGCTTACAGAGTCTGCTTACCCCGTCCTTCCTGGACAATACTGAACGTTCTCCTGTCTTCTCTTACTTCCCCCTTTCCTCTCTCCCTGAAGTGCTGTAATCCTGTACACATCTTAAGACCAAGCAGTTCTTGTGGCGGAAGCAGCAGCCCCGCCGTGTATTCAGGACAGGAGGGATTGAATCCAGGAACCGGGAGGGCCGAGGAGGCGGAAACCAGAGCTATGAGATTGCAAGGAGTCAGGACCTGCAGACACCACAGTGAAGCTCAGAAAACATTCCCAGCTGCCCGTGCTACTGAAGTTTCAGGCAGAGACCTAGAAGCCACTAGCAAGCACAGAGCCCCCATCTGCGAATTCCCAGTGTTAGGGTGCATACGCCACCAGGCCCTCGTGTGCGGCAGGATGTGGAAGGTGCAGGATTATGGGGCTGCAGCTGACTTGCTGTTAGGAGGCGGCTCGCTGGGTCGTGGCTGGAAGGCTTTCTCCCTCCCTGGCTCCTCCCCTCTTTGCTCTCTGCTTCCTGGCTACCAGGAAGTGAGCAGCTTCCCTCCGCCAGGCCTCTGCCTGCCTTCCCGCCACGCAGCTGGCCGGGGGTGTGCACCGGGACAGACCTCTCTTGTAAGGTGTGCGAGCTGGTGTTTCTTCCAGGGATGAGAAACTAAGACACCAGGCAGCTGCCTGTGAATAATTACTCTGCCTCATCAGCTTTTCTTTGCCTGCCTCCAAATGCGCTGGGAGTGATCTCCCCGGCAGGGTCTGGTGTGGGGCCCGCGGGCAGACAGTCTGGTGACTGCAGCCTCCAGGGCCCTGCACACTGGGCAGAGGGCGGGATGAGAAGGAGGTGATACCCAGTGCACACTGACGTGTCACGGCCCCGTGCTCCGGAAGCTCATGCACCGCAGGCCTCCGAGTCCTTCTGGCAGCCTCTGAGGCATGCTCCATAATGTCCCCTCCCTGCACTTGGCGCCTGAGCAGGAGAATTCAGTCACCTGGGACTCCTTGGGCTCTACCCTAGTATAAGGGCGTGATTCACTAAGCCACCGTGGGCCTGGAAAGGGCCCAGGAGGGCGCAGAAGCCAGTGACTGGAGCCTGCACCAGAGCCTGCAAAGCACGATCGAGAGCACTGAAGCCAGCCTGTGAGGGTGCTCAGGTCCCCATTTTACAGTTGGGTGGAAAAAACAGCCCCACCTCCAACCCCCAGGGATTGACTCGTGCCAGAGACAGCAGCTCCTGCAGCCACCTGGCAGGAGGGAATTGTGTGGGGAAAGTGCCCGGTGTGCCATGAGTCTTCGGGAAGCCCGGCTGTCATTGTCGTCGTCATCGCCTGGTAACTGCGTAACAGAGACTTCGCAGGCCTCGTGCCAGGGCAAGACTGATCTGAGGGAGGCTGCAGCATCCACGTCCAGGCCCTGACACAGCCAGCTGCTCCTCCGGAGGCTCCTCCCTGCCCCTCATGTCCGGGGCTTCATGTCCAGAGGCTCCACCTCTGTCTGGCAGGAGAGGACGGACGCCCAATTCCCCTGGGTCTTCTATCAGTCTGAGATTCTGTGGGTGCCCTGGACACCCCTCGGGCTCCTGTCATTGCAAAAGGTCACCTCAGCCTCCACCTTCACCAGCATGAAGTGTGGCCAGGCACCAAAATCATATTACCCTCGCCTGTGTTTTGTGGATGTTTTCAGGAAGCTAAGTGTCCTTGGGGATTCTGCGACAGTATTTATGGTTATTGTCAGCAGCACTGGGTCTGGTAAAGTTGGATGGAGAATTCCAAGGTGCAGGGTGGCCCTGGGGTTATGCTGGGCATTGTGTTTGCAGTGTCCCTGCTGCTTGTGCCTGAGACATAAACTCCGCGAGTAGCAGCTCTAATGTAAGTGTTCTGTGCAACTAAACGACGGCGTGCTTGCCCAGGCTGGGGACGGTTTAAGTGTGTGGCTTGTGATTGCCATACAACAGCAGTAGCAGAACAAGGCTCTTCAGATAGGCTAGCTAACAACCTAGACATGTAGGGAGAGCAGCCGCCACAGAAGAGCAGGAAAAGGAGGTTGGCGCAGGAGTGGCCACTCCTTCTGCCCCATGGCCCTGACTTGGAGCCCGGCCTGCAGTGTGCCCAGAGCCTGCGTCACAGTCGGGTGTGGTAGCGGGGCCTGCTCCGCTTTGCTGTGACCTGGACACGGGTTCCCGTCCCCGGCCACTGCAGCATCTCAAGACTAGATGGCACCTTGGCCGTGGGCAGCATGGCTTCATGGCGCGGTCTTCCCTGAAGGCTGCAGCCCTCAGACAGGCCCGGCAGGCAGCTCCTCAGCACCGCGTGCCAGCTGTGTTAGCCTGTACCTTTTAGCAGCGCCCAGAGCACAGGAGGCCCCTCCCCTGTGGGCCAGCTTGTCTTAGTTACTTTCCTCTTGTTGCTGGGACAAAACACCTGGCACCCAGAATTAAGGAAGGAAAGATTTATTTCGCTCACAGTTTGTGGTTTCAGTCCATACTCTACTGGCTGCAGGGCAGGGTGGCACATGGCAGAGGGCAGTTGTTCGAGGCGGCAAAAGACAGCAAAAGTAACAGAAGCAAAAAGGGAGGAGAGAGAGGAGACTGTGTCCCTTACGCTGTATGCAGGCTGCCTGTCCCAGGGCGGGTGCAGCCCTCACACCGTAATCCCAGCACTAGATGGTGAATCCATTACAAACGAAGTTCAGCTGCCTCCAAAAAGCTGGCCCCATGTCTGCGTGAGGCTTTGGGGACATCCAGACACAGCCACGACACAGCTGGAGCCCCCTCGCCTTCCCCTTCCCCGGTAGGGGTGCGGGCGACACGGTGTCAGGCGGACACTCAGGCCCTGTGCTTTCTGAAAGGAAAGCGACAGTCACAGAGATGAGCACCACCGCCGTGTGTCCTGTTGTGCCCTGTTTGGGAAAGTACTGGAAGTTTAGTTTTTCCACAAAACTATATGCAGACGATAGTGAGACCCAGCTGAAGCTCAGTGAATTCTCGTCCCCGTCAAAGAAGTCACTGTGCTCTCCCCAGCTCTTTCCACAGCCACGCCAACCCCAGCAGCCGCAGGAAACGCGAGGCATTCAGACCTGTCGGACTGTGTCCACACGGGCTCACAGGGCAAGTCCAGGGGGGCTCTGCAGCCTGGTAAAGGGTTCAGGCCATCGGCCGTCCTCAGAGGTCCCATTGTCACCTGCTGGAGCAAACGTCTGTGACCACCCTGGCCCTAGGCTCCGTGCAGTGCTTGCCAGGACGACCATGCACCGGAAGTTGGCGTGCTCGGCCCCTGTGGTCGGATGTCCGGAGTTCCCGTCCAGGTTAGCACAGTGTTGAGTGCTGGCCAGGCTGGGAGGCCTCTGCTTCATCGGGTGGACGCTGTTCTGACAGAGCAGGCTCCTGAGGAAAGGACGACCATGGCCTCCCCTCTCCCGCCTCTCCCTCCTCTTCCTCCACCTCTCACCGTGGGAGCCGGAGGGCTTCCACCTCCGGAGCCGTGAGGCCTGAACCTCCGTCCCTGGTAAATCCCCGCGTTTCAGGTGCCCTGCAACAGCCCCACAGAGACGGCCAGGACACCCAGGGCGCCGAGTCCTCGGGGGAAGAACAGGGAGCTTTGTCAGCCCCAGGGCCCCCGAGTCCTGCTCTCTGCCCAGCGAAGTTACACAGCCACATTCCCCCCTGGGGGGCCCATTTGATCTGAATTCTGGACCAAGAAAAATCAGTGGGAAGATAAGCATCATTTTCCTCTCCCAGCGGAACCTGTGGCCCGGGGGCAGAAGCCGGAGAAAGCTGTGTTGCCTTCCTCCCCACTTCCCTTCAGTTCTCGAGCCAGCAGGAAATTGTATCCCGCCTCTGCCGCTCAGCCCTGTTTGCCTTCCTTCACCAAATTAAACAAGTTTCTTCCTGCTTTGTAGAGAAAGTCCCCAGCTCTTCCCTTGGCTTTGTGGGTGGCAGCCTTGCTTGTCCCAGACCCCACCCGCCCGGCCCCTGCCTCACCCTGTGTCCGACCCCCCGGTCCTCCAGGGCACAGGGCCGTGGAGGGGACTCCGGGAGCCGTCGCGCTGTCCTCTGCTGTCTCCTGGACTGCATGTGGCAAGGTGGGCTGTCACCTCCTGCAGCCAGGAAAATGGGCTCCGAGACAAGGATGACAAGCAGGCCCGAGGGCCAGAGGTGATGGCGTCAGTGCAGCCTGGGCCTCCAGGGAGGGGAGCGCCCTGTGCTCCGAGGAGGAGGAGGCTGCGCTCCAGCCTCGCCTGGCCCAGCCAGGGCCCTGGGGAGCTTCTGCCCTCACTCGGTCCTGCCTTTGCCTCTGCGGGCCCAAGTGTCCCGGATCGGTGGCGGCTGTGTCCCATGGTTGTCCAGCCCTAGCCCCCTGCCCCCTCCGCCTCCTTGTGGCTTCGTGGCCTCTGCTTCCCAGGCTGGGCCCGCCGGAAAACACGGCCTCTCTGGAAGCAGGAGGCCATCTCTGGGTGCCTCCCTCACAGAGCAGCGCCCATCCCCAGGGACTGCTGGGCGGGTTCCAGGAGATCCGGTAGCAGGGCCTCGGCGCCCCACCTGCACCCGACTGTCTTGAGCGTTGAGTATCAACCTCGGGCCCAGCCTCCAGCCCGGCCAGCACAGCCCCGTGAAGTGAGATCCCGGAGCAGCGTTAATGCCCTAGGTACTGGCAAAAGCCCAGCCCTCAGGCAGTCAGTAAAAGGACATAAAGAGGGCATCTGCTGTCCAGTCCTGTCCCTGGGCCCAGGCTCCCGCCCTGGGCAGCCTTTGTGGTCGTTTGTTTGTACTGCGTCTGGAGAGTCTGGGTGAGGAGGGGCTCGCGCCCCGTACGCTGGCGGTGGCTCCCCGCATGCCGCCCCGCCCTAGCTTCCCCACGCCCCGTTGTCCTGTCTGTGCTGACCAGGCGGGTGGGCGCGGTGCCCTGCTGTAGGTGAGACCCGGTCGCTGTCCAGCAGCCGTGCGGGTTTCCTTTCGTGTTCTGCCAGTTTGTTTGCTGTTGGCAGTTGTGTCCCGCCTGGGCTGGCGTCACTGACTCGCAGGGGCGCTTCCTGTGGGAGCAGGGCCCGACCCCTGTGCTGTGGCACCGTCCCCGGTGCATAGTTTTCAGCTCAGGCTGTCGTGCTGGTGGTTCCCGTGGAGAATCTGCTTTTCTGGAGTCAGGTTTCCGACCTCTGCTTGGGTAAGAAGGACAGCAGAGAGCCATTCGCTGCGCTCTGCCTCGGTCAGCCTGGCCTGCGCTTTCTTCTTGTGTCAGCTGCGGTCCTCTCTGGGCTCCCGTCTTGGCCTGGAGGGGCACAGGGCTGGGGCCTTGACCCCGATGTCTAAAACTTTGTCTCGGGTGAACTGAAAACGCAGGTTAGATCTGGAGGGGAGCGCAGAGGTCTGGGGAGGAGGGGCCTTCTGTGGGCTGCCAGCCTGCACCTCCCCACTGTCACCACACCGCTGCGGCAGAGGGAAGAGCTGAACCGGTCCGGAGCTGGAACCAGCAGTTCGAGGTCAGCCACTGTGCAGAGCCCGGGGTTCACAGATGCCCACCCCTTGCCCGTGTCCCCCTCTGAGATGCTGGCTACCTCAGGCCTCTAGGGGGCAGCAGTAGCCATGTATGTCCAATATTCTGGTGTCATCTGGTGCAGGAGCTGGTGAAGGAGCTGACCCCTGACCCTTTGTGCTGATGTCCTCTCTCTGCCCCCTAAGCAGAGTTCGCTGACCCCTGCTCTGCCTAGGCCTGTGCTAGCGGGGGCAGGCGGAGTCACATGTCCCTTGGGTGGTGCGGCCGTCTCGTACCCTGCAGACACCAGGAAGATAGCAAGCAGGGCCCCAGCAGCAGTAGGAGCGTCCCTCATCCGGGGGGCACCGGCATGCCAGGACGGGCAGCTGCACAGCTGGCTCAGCTGCCACTCCCTTCGCCTTTCTACCCCGTGGCTATCCTTTAAGAGCTGGATTCCAATCTTCCTTTGAAAAGGGTATTTCTAAAAGAAATGTTTTCTCCCTCTGCTAGACACTCCTGCAGCAAGAGAGGGCGAGCAGAGGCTTTGATCTCGCAGGCATTCTTTTTAAGTTTGATCTTTTGATCTACTGTTTTGTTTCTGTGTACTTAATGGTTTGCCTCAAAATCACCTAAATATCAGGGCAAATAAGACAAATACTTTCAAAAGCAAAGTCCATACCAACGCTTTAGTGTCACCCATAGCAACGTGCTATAACACTGCTCCTGGCAGCCAGCAGGTCGTCTCTGACTTGGCAGGAGGCAAAAGGGGAAGTGGGTCCTCCTCTGGAGGAAAGGGTCCCGGCCCAGGTGACCCCGAGGTCCAGGCACGGGTCGCGCCGCAGGGGTTCTGTTGTGTCACCCTCGTGACATTCTCTATGGGAGATGATAGCACTGCTGCCAGGGCACTGGCCGGGCACCACGAGCTGCGGAGACTGCAGTCGTGAGCCGCCCCGGTTCGCTGTGCTTCAGCCCTGCTGGGCGTGGGCCTCAGGGCGTGTTGGGTCAGCCAGAGCCCAGTGCCCAGGGCTGCCCTGCGCAGGACCCAGGGTGGGTGGACCTGGGCTGGCAGGGGTGGGGAGCTGTCGCCGCTGACTAGCTCATGATACCATGCACGGAGGAGACCTGAGACGCAGGCTGCAGAGCAGCGCGCACGGTCGGAGCAGCCTCGCATCAGAACAGTCCCGCAGGACGCTGATGGCAGCGCTGAATGTTGGAGACGTCGGCAGTCTTAGTGAACTGGCAGTCAAGTGCCCCAGAGCCTGCTCTGGTTCGGTATGGCTCGCATCCTGTACTCTAGGCAGAGGCCCGTAATTAATGCGGCTCCGCCTGTACCAAAATATTCCTGTGAACAGTGGAATTCAAGGCTCTGTCGCTGCCGCCCATCTTTAGATCCATGAATCAGGCTGCAGGCCTTTACAGAAAGTTAACCTTTGTTTCCTGAACAACAACGTCCCCGTGCCTGGATTGCTGCCTCCTGTGGGTTGTCTGTGTTGCTGAGCAGCCTTGAAGTATACTACAGTCGGCTGTATGTGCACAGAAAACGGAAAACTGGAAGTGTCCCGGATAACCAGCAGTCGAGGAGAGACTACGTTTTTGGACATTAAAGGTTGATCTGCGAGGACGTCTGCTTCTGCTCCAGGCGGAGAAATAGGACCCAGACTCATTCTCCTGCCCAGAACAGACCGAAAAGAAAAAAGAAGAAAAGAAATGACATACAGCAATGGTTTTCTAAATACGGACGCCCGGAAGTGCAAGGGCAGACGACTGATTGCCCTGATTGGATGCCTTGAGAGTCTGCAGAGCTGACGTGGGGTGCAGCAGACCCCCGAGTTGAAGGGACGGAGCGGAGAGTCCAGGGAAGCCAAGGAGGCTAAAGTCCAGGACCCCGTCCTGCAGAAGTGCCTTGGGGAGCGGCGTGGGGCGCCCAGGGAGTGTCCACATGGCTGGAAACAGAGAGATCGAGCACTAGGAGGAGAAAAGGGCCAGTCAGAGCAGACCAGATGTCCGACCTGGCGGCTCCGGTGCAGGGCTGTGACTCGTGTCTCAGAAGGCCGCAGACACGGAAGATGGAACCTGTGCAGGTGGAGGCCGCGGTGTCTGAGATGAACGCGCACAGGATGGGACTCAGGCGAGGCCAGACCGTGCAACAGAAGAAGGGTGTGTGAACTTGAGTTGGGCAGTGCCTCCCAGAGTAATCGAGGGTGCGGCAGGAGCAGCAAAGACGACTGCTCGTGTAGACTTCGAGGGCACGCACCTGGTGACGGGGAGCGGCTCAGTGGGTGTGCACAGCGGGCTGGGGTGGGCAGAGGAGGATGGCTCCCAGCAGGCGCTGGGGCGTCTCTGTGGACGTGGTGTCCATGCCCACCCTTAGCAGATGATGCGGTCCCAACGGTGCCGTTTATTATAAGTCAGCTAACCTGTAATACGGCTGTTAAAAATGGGTGCTGAAGATGGAGTCGAAGATTAAAAAAAACATAGAAAAGGCATACAGAAAACTCAGTTTCACAAGCCCTATACCGACTAGGTTAATATATATATATATATACACACACACAATTTAGAAGTTACATTTAGAAAATAGTTACAGTTAGAATAGAGTGAGTTTCAGGCCAGCCTGTGTGAGGTTGTGGGTTTGTAGTCATTTTTGCCAGTGGTTTTAATACAGAAATGAATAAACAGAAGAGAATGTTTCTATTTTCAGACACTGTCCTTTTATGAGATCTGAATCTCAATGACTCTATTCAAGGTTTCTGATATTTTCCTAGAAACATCCTTTCTGTGCTTCCATCTCCTCCTAGATAAATGAGGTTGAATTATAAAATGCTGTTGATTCCTTCCTTATTTCTGCGTACTCAGAAATAAACAGCAACACTGAGAAGTGAGTTTAGGAAGGAAGGAAAGGGCTTAGTGCTTTGTCTCTGCATCTCGACTCCCGGACTGAGCCCCGCGATGTGCGGACAGCAGGGCGACTCGATTTCTGGCCCTCCACCCCAGCCAGGCGGGGAGCTGAGAACTTAGCTGGCCCGAGACCCTTTCCTGGTTAGTGGCTCCCCGCTCCCTTGAAGCCTGGCCTCGGGGTAGTTTCTGTTTGGTTTTTCAGGTCCCGGTCCCCCTGAGTGGCGTCTTGCGCCAGTTTCAGCATGCCCTTGCCTGTGGTTGTGCTGCCGTAGTACAGGGGTTAATGTTATCCCTTAGTTATTGCAGACTGATCAGGCCCGCAATCTCCAATGAGTGGACGGCGAAGGCTAGATAAACAGAGGCGATGGAATGATTTCAAGGCTCCAGGAAGATCAGAGCCCTCTCACAATATGTGAGATTCTCTCGGGGCTAAGACCAAGACCACCTCTGGGCAGCCATATTTATTTGGTTATCAGAACAAGGGAGGGGAGTACTCAGGAAGGGCGGAATCACTCAAGGGCTTCTCCAAGTAAGACACTATGTTAATTTAGGAGAGCTGTGTTAACTCCAGGAAGATCTCCACCCAGGAGTGAGATACCTGACACTACAGTCTTTATCCAGTTGAGGTTGGAGCTAGGTGTCCTTGGCTATGACCTTGTCTTGTCTTTTGGGTGTCCTGGCTTCACTTGCCATTACAGGCCTCAGCAGGGACCAGTGACTCGCAGAGGTTCACTTACTATGAGTCCACCACCCATCTCCAGACAAGGGGCCTAGGCCTTGGACAGACTCACAAGTAAACATGGAAAGCCCATTGGTTAATTTAAGTCCTGCTCAGGGCTGCTTCATAATGGTCTCCATCAGGGGTGTGTGCACACATGGCATGTATGTGTATCACTTCCACTGTACACACAGGTGTTCCAGCTACACGGAAGACAGTCCACTCCAGGACTCTCCCAGCAGGGTCAGCTGACAAGTGGTGTGTGTGTTGCACCTGCAGACTGGGGGCTCCCAGAGCAGGGTGGGGTGAGGTGCGGAGCTTGGGCTTCTCCTCCTGCACACTCACGGGCCCTCGAGCACG